GGCAAGACATAGGGTGTCTGGCTGGCTCAATCAGTAGAGTATGCAACTCTTGATCTCAAGGTTGGGAGTTCGAGCCCCAGCAGGGTGAAGAGATTGCCTAAAAAATGTTTAAATTTAGTATTTAAAAAAAAAATAAGATACAACTCTTGTCTTATATCGGCCTAAAACTGAACAAATGATTACACTTTCAACAAGCCCGCATATCAAAATAAGGAAGTACCACTTCAATCATTTGTTTCTACCATATTCAACGAGCTAGGTTGATTGTCACAGTTCCCGTACAACATTCTTAAACAGTGTATAGTATCCAACAGAAATAAAAACTGGTTTTAAGACTAGTCTGGTTTGGGGGCGCCTCGGTGGCTTAGTCGGTTAAGTGTCCGACTTTTGCTTAGGTCATGATCTCGCAGTTCGTGGGTTCAAGCCCCGCGACGGGCTCTGTGCTGACTGCCAGCTCAGAGCCTGGAGACTGTTTCAGTCTCTTGACTCCCTCTCTCTCTGACCCTCCCCTGCTCACGCTGTCTTCTCTCTCTCTCCTAGAAATAAATAAAACATTAAAAAAAAAAAATCTCATCACCCTCTATGTCTCCTTACCCTCCTACATTTCTAATTGTATTAAATATTTCCTCAATATATCTAAAAAAAAAAAAAAAGACTAGTCTGGTTTGGTTTAATTGTATCTTAAAACCAAACCATCATATAGACCCCTAAACTGAGATTTCAATTCTTCAGGTAATATGCTCAATGAAAAGTCACAAATGGGTGAAGACTATTCTTAGATCACCAAGCTTTCGTGGTTCAAGGCCATATGTCACACAAACCACATCAGCCTCTGACATACATTAGGGTCCTGCAATCAAATTAATGCATTCATCTAGAGTCCAGAGCTTTCTCAAGTGGACCACAAGTTTTAGAATCCCTGCATTTTAAAGATCTTGGGCTATTATGGAACAGCACTAACTGCCAATGGCATACCTTACTAAGACTCAACCATAGTATTGTCAGCTCCTTATACGCTAGAGTCTTACCCAGGTCTTTCACTTTTAAATGCTTGTTTTTGAGACAGAGAGGGCAAAGAGAAAAGGGGCAGAGAGAGAGAGACGAGACAGAATCCGAAGCAGACTCCAGGCTCTGAGCTGTCAGCAGAGAGGCCGACACAGGGCTTGAACTCATGAACCGCAAGATGATGACCAGAGTCAAAGTCAGATGCTTAACCAAATGAGTCACCCAGGCACCCTGAATCTTGCCCATTTCTATCACCTAATTTACAGGATTTCTACAATAGGAGTAAAAAAAACTTAAGGTTCCTAATCTGATTTTTAAAAAATTTTTAATGTTTATTTTTGAGAGAGAGAGAGACAGCAAGCGAGAGCAGGGGAGGGGCTGACAGAGGGAGACACAGAATCCAAAGCAGGCTCCAACTCCAAGCTGTCAGCACGGAGTCCCACATGGGGCTCGAACTCAGAGTGGGAGATGATGATCTGAGCCAAAGTCAGATGTTCAACCAACTGAGCCACCTAGGTGCCGATTTTTAATTTCTTACATTTCAGCGTACATCTGGTTACACAAGCCACATTTACCCACATGTACACAACTACTACCCTAAAGAACTTCCCATGGTTTCAAATTCACCCTTCCACTGGAAAAAGGAGAAATTTATGTTTCAACTTGCTTCTAAGTTTCCCCCTGATTCTAACAGGCCTCCTTATCAGAGATCAAGCAAGAGGTACCATTATTTACCCATATACACAAACTAACCTTAGAAAAATTTAACAGGTCTACCAAGAGTGTTCACTGAAGGACCTGATTTGTGCTTTGGACCCTCCTCTACCATGGACTGTCAAACAACCCTTTAAAAATCGTTGGTTGGGCTTTTATCGGTACAGTTATCCATTTAGGTGTAAGTCATGTACAAATTCAACTTTTAGAACTCAGAATATTTTCTGATGCAAATCCGCTTCAATTATATCTTTAAGACACTGTCTTAAAGTGCAGTCATTAAGACGTGACAAACCAAATACAAATAAGGGAAAGAAAGTGTTACATACTGGAAATACCTCGATCCTTTTATAGAACCAGACCTAGATCGTCTGAGTGAAGCTGATCTTGATCTACGAAGAGACACAGATCTTGATCTTCGTGGGGATGCTGATCTCGACCTAAGAAATAAATCAAAGCTTAAGTCTTATGTTCAATTAAAGTTTATTGCTTGTTAAAACTTGAGTTAGATAATATTTCTCACCTCCTTCCCCTGCTCCTGCTGCGTGAGCGAGAGTATCGCCTACCTCTGGATCTCGAATGTGATCTAGACCGTGACCTATTTTTCAAGTTAGAAAAAGAAAGAATGTTAGATGATAACTCGTTTTTGGAGTTTGTGTGCCTCTGCTGAAATCAAATCTCAAACTATTTAAATTTAGTGTCTCAATTGGAAATAAACTCTGGGCCTATTAGTTTTTTTTTTTTTTTTTTTAACTACCTAAAAAAAGATTTGTTAAAAGCTGAATTACAACTTAGAATTACATAATATAAAGCACTGTAATGTGTATTTAAAATAAACCTTGCAAGTTTGCAGGTCGACCCTCTTTGGCCCATGGTCTAGTAGATCTAGACGATCTAGAAGTATCTATAGCCGATCGCTGCATCTAGATGTTTTCTTCAATCTAACGACGATCAAACTGACAGCCAAATGAGCCAGGTGAGGCTTGATTGACGCAAGAAGATTTTTCTAGTTGGGAATGTGGTCAATCTGGTGTTCCTCTTTCTAAACCGGAGGGGGCCCCAATTGTAAGCCAAATTTACTGTTACGGCGATCACCGTCTCAAATTTTCTGCCCTTTAAAGAATAAGGTGAAGCTAGGTGTAGATGACTCGAGGGGATCTGGCCTCTTATGCTGATCACCTCAAGGTCTAGGAGGATCTTAATTGTCGGATTTGCAAGGCGCCTCAGCATGATATCATAAGGCTCGTGACATTCTGAATCAAGGCGACTGACTCAAACGAAGAAACCTGAAAGGTTTTGACCAGGTTGATTATTAATATATTAACATTTATTTAATTAAACAAAAACTGTAAAATACACCTGTACAATTAACATTCAAGTTTATAGAAAAATACTAGTTTCTGCCTTGCTAATAAAAAAATTACTTCGATTAACTAGAATACCAACCACTCCTTTATTAAAATCAATACCTGCTTCGCCGCCGCCGGCTATAGCGATGACAATCATAAGCATAATGTCCCTTTTCGCCACACTCATAGCATCTATCATTGGGATCAAAGGGACGGCGGGCTGGTGGTCTATCAAACCGAGACCTCCGAGGCATGCCTGTTGATAATTCAACTCTCACTCTGGAACCACAAATCACCCTATAAAAGAAAACCAACAAATTTCTAATGCTAAAAAAAACAAAAACAACCAAAACACCGGACTTCTACATTTAGAACTTTCCACACACTCCTCACCCTCACAAGCTTCAATGAGTTACCTTTATAAACCCTTCCAACTCCAACTTTGCTCCCCCTTCTTAGCTGTATAGAATTAGGATTAAGTATTAAGTCTCCTCCAGACTACAGAATCCAAGCTTATCACCTACCTCACTACCCAGCCCACAAGAATACTCTGATAAACGTAGAGTTCCATGACCAACATCTTACTTACTTCCCATCCAGTCCTCGCACTGCATCTTCTGCATCTCTGGGATCTTCAAATTCCACAAACGCAAATCCTGGAGGATTTCTTGCAATCCACACAGTTCTTAAGGGACCATAATAACTGAAAGCCCTTTCTAACTCTCCTTTGCCGGCACCGGTTCCCAGATTACCAACATACACCTTGGTTTCTGTTTAAAAACGCAAATACAAGAACGCAGGTTATGCAAAATTCTAAGTTTGAGTGAATTCTTTGTCCCAAACGGGCCATCCTTAACACTGTACAAAGCACGTTTATTGCTCTATCAAGGATTTAGTCCTAAAACCAGGAAGACCCATACATTTCCGAAAAGCTGGGTGGGGGGGTGGGCAAAGTTCTTAACATTCAAATGGGGAGACGACCTCCAAAACACAAGCAGACACGTGGTAGGATATTCCGCGGCGTGGGGCGGGCTCCGCCCCCGCCCCGCCCCCGGGTCCCGGCAGCCCCGGGCGCGCGGGGAGCGCGCGGGCCGGCGGCGGCGGCGGGCCCCGGCAGGGGCCGGACCGGGAGAGCTGGGCTGCGCCGGCTCTCGTCCTCCGCGGCAACAGCCCCAGGCGCCGGCTCGCCCAGGACTCCAGCTCCCTCCAGCTCCCCGCCCCAGAGCCATAAACCGCGCTCGAAAGAACTAAAAGAGAAAAGAAAGCAGCCGCCAGACGAAAAGATTAGGTCTCCGTTCCCACTCAATTCGACCGATTGTCTGATGAGAATGCGCAGATCGACGCTGCCACTTTTGTCCAGTCTGAAAACCACCTTTGGCTTTACAGCAGCGACCAGATCTGTCGGCTAAAGTGGCGGGAAAGCGCCAAGGAAATGCGCCACCATGCTCGTCAATGTGCGCAAAATGGCAGCCGAGGGCGGGGGGGTGGGGGGGCAGGCGGGCGGCTCGAAGAAGGGCGACAGGAAAACAGTGATCGTGCGCCTGCCTTGGGCTGTGGTGGAAGACGAAAACGCCCAGGTATACGGAACCCACCACAGACCTCCACCCACCATCCCCAGGATGCCTTCGACACCCCGCCCCCGCTGCCTCCGGCTTCGTATGGTGTGCGCCGAAGCCGCCATTACGCACGCGGAATAACCGTCTCCCAACCGCCGCGCCAACCCCACGGCCTGGCAATACTCACTATGGTCACAGCAACGTCCCTTACCGGGCCCTGGCCTCTTACCTCCTCCATACCGTCCGTAACGCGACATGATGACTGGCCCGCGAGCTCTGCTCTTTCAGCTCGCAGTGCCCAGGGAGTGAGTAATACAAAAGCCAAAACACCAGACCAGTCGCCAACGGTCCCAGCGGCACTACGAGGAAGAGCTGAGTTCGCGCTTATATATGCGGCGGCTGGGTCTCTCTACGCATGCGTCATTTCGACGTTCTGCGCGGCACAAAGGAGCAGGGCGGAAACAGTGGAGAAGCGGCGCGGAGGGAACTGATGGAGCTAAGAAACGGGACTAGGGCGGAGGGATACGTTTCCATGGGAACCGCAGACCTAGCCAGTAAACCCGCGGACTTCCCCGCGGTGTCCCGCCCCCTCCCCTCCCCCTTTTTCCTGTAGCCTCCTCATTTTCGTTCCCTTCTCCCTCCCCCTTTCCCCATACTAGGGACCCCTAGCTCTAGCGGTCTTAATACAGGTAGCTTAGACCGGCCTTATGAAAGACCGTACAATTTAACCGCTGATGTTGCAGCTGTCGCCGCCTTTCTGCTTGGGGACCTGGTCTAAACTGCTACTCAGTCATCTTTGGGGCTCATCAGAGGTAATCGGGAGTTTGGCCAGGGTGAGAACTCCATGAACCCCGCCATTCTGAGTAGTGGTCTCTGCACCATGGGCCTCAAAAAGGAGTGATGCCCCCAGGGACAGCACCGACCCTCCAGCCCCTTCAGAACCAATTTTCATCAACACGGTCCGAGTTCTTGGAGTCTGGGGGACAAAGGAATAGAGTACTTTGTTTTATTTTCTTATTATAGTGAAATTGTGCAAAAACACTAAATCCTTAAAGCATTCTAGCTAGTGGCAATTATGAAATGATTTGCATTTGAAGCACACAGTCGTGCTTTCTTTCTAGTGCTTTCTGCTTTGTATTATAGTATCACATCTCATCCACTAATACTCATATCCTGAGCACTAAAAATTTGTTAAATTCTCTTTAAGTAATAGCCTTCCTGCTCAGCCACTCTCCTCATAAAATAAATGTAAACCTTTTCTTTGGACAGAATCACTTGAAAGATGATCTGATTTGATTTTTTATTTTTATTAAGCAACATACAATGTTACATTTGTTTCACATGTACAACATAATGTTTCAACAATTCTTTATAGTACTCCCAACTCACCATTAGTCGTCATCTGTCACACTAGTTTATTACAATATTACTAATTATACTTTCTATGCTATACTTTTCAGTTTTGATTTTATACAATGTATCTGCCAAACCCCAAGTCTACAAATACAGATTCAACTTCTTTTTCACCAGCCACACAAACACACACAAAGACATTATTAGATCATGAATACTCGGAATATATGAGTTGGAACTGTTTTACATGAAAAATGAAATCCTTAGTATTTGTATTTTTTATGTTTCTCATCTGTAACTTAACATGATGTATATGGGTGTGTGGTACAGAATACAAGAGAAAGGAGATTTAGTTGGTGAATAAAGTATGGATCCTCTCTTGATAATGCTACAAACTCATATACATATTTTTTCAAACTTCTCAAATTATGGAAAGAATATAACCATTGCAAGAAAATTCTAGCAAGAAAATAGAAGTTCTATAAAATGTTATAGTGGTTCTCCCTTAGTCTTCTTGATTTTTGTTATCTACTTAACAGGGCAGGGTTCTTCTCAAAAGATTAAATGATAAAGATCTTTTTATATACTCTGTGAAAGACTAGAGTGTCAGTCCTCTAAAGGCTCACTAATTTGACTTTCTTCTAATATGAATTTGTGAAAATTGCCATGGGACAAACCATAGGTAACTTATTGAAAAATAGCACTTATTAATACAATTAGGCCTCAGTAAATAGTTCTTGTTTCTGAATACGGAGTATGCTGTACTAAAGAGATTTTGAAGTAATGGTATAAAAAATGGACACAAATTTCCAACTTAAACTGCTTTCGAGCACATTAAAGGAAAAGGGGTAAATCCAGACTGGCTTGCCTGCCTCTCTAGGAGACAGGTGCTTTGATAAGCTAATTACATTACATGTTATTTATCTCTATTAAAGAAGGGCCAATTCTAGGCTGGGTTTGCTATCATAGGTACCATGAAAAAACAATAGTTCCTCATAGAATTTCCATGCACTATTCTACAGAACACTCTCTCTGAGAACACATAACCAGTTCTCTTCACTCCACATCAATCCAAATTAGGGAAATATTATATGGAGTACTTCTATTCCTACTGACTTCTTTTGAAATCAGTTTCAGCCATATAAATTTCTGCCTATAGGATTGTGTGTTAAATTAAGATCACATTCCCAGATTTAACTGGAATATGAAAGCTACTTAATTCAATGAATATTCTAAGGTTTCCTAATATGCAATTTTGAGTAACGCTTAACACATTACTGTTGTTAAAAACTGATTATGTTATTAGTTTAGGGGAGGGTGAGTTCATTCTTAATCCTTTTATAGCAGCTTTCAAAATTTATCTGCCTTTACTAGATTCAGTTTTTCCAGAGAAGCATTAAAGAAAAAGTTAACTCTTTATCATATTTTCTTCTTCATTTTAGTTTCACTTTTAAATCATTGCCACTACTTTAGCTTATCTGTGGAAACCTGAAAACAAAAACAGGTTTAGACCTTCTGCACATGTACTATTTTTGATATAAAGAAATAGTCTGTTTATAAACACTAGTCCTTTAATATGTATTTATGGATGTGCTGTAAATTTATGTACTGTGGGACAATCCAAAGATCTGTATTCAAGTACAACTTTCTTTTTGTTTTTCAACATTTCGTAATCTTCAGTTCCATCGAGAATGCTCTTATGAAATTCTAGGAGGGAAAACTTCTCAGAGGCATGTTTATAATTCTTTCATACTGTATAAAGAAATGTACTTTTCATTAGCCAAGTACTGGACTGTACTCAGTACTGAAATATGGAGATGGGGGTAGGGACAGCCACAGTTAAAGAATACTACTGCCTTGACCAACTTCAAAGAGTGAAACTGGGGAGAGCAAACATGTGATGCAGGAGTGCTCCACTGATACAAATAATACCTAAATGGGTAGTTTAGGAGTATAAAACAATATAGGAACAATGAGGCTTTCTGAGTAAAGTCTGGTTGTCATAAAATGTGTGAAACTGTAAAACCATCAAACCCGAAACAGTTTTGTCAATTATGCTGCTCCTTCTCGAAAGAAAGAGTATTAGTGAAATTAGTTACTGGTCAGCTTGTTGTCTTAACTAGGAAGAGCTAGACTCGCATGGACAGAATTTAGCGATTCATTCAGCACTATCTCAGAAGAGAACCTATGTTATTAGCCAGCTCTCAGTTGTACTTAAAGATTCTCAAGTCCATTGACTTCCCTTATTTAATATTTTGATGCTCATCTTCTGGTCCCTGGAAATTAATATCCTCTACTGTTAAACAATAAAAGTGGTTTTTGTTCATGAAGCTTTTCCTTAAGACAGATGGTAGGTATAGTGTGATGATTAAGAGCATAAGCTCATGGAGTGTGGGAGCTGGGTTTGAATCCTGGCTCCACTAGTGAATAGCTAGGTGCCTAGCCTTGAGCAAGTTGTTAATCTCCTCCCACTTCAGCCTCCTCATCTGCAAAATAGGATTTGATAGTAGTAGCTCATCTCAGGTAAATCAAGCAAGTAACACTGCCCACTGTCTAGCACATGTTGAGTGGTCAATTAATGTTTGGAGGAGAAGGGGGAGGAGGAGGAGGAGAGGAAGGAACAGCGGTTTGACTCACCTTTGTCAGTTGCTAAGAATATGATATGACTTGGGTACATTGACAACTGAAGTTTTGTTTCTGCAAAGCTGGGGACTAGACCCTGAAATATGGTGACCAGCCTTAAGTAGCCACTCCCAAGACGTCTCTGTCTCTTCACTTACTGCCTTCTAGGTGAAAGTGTCACTTTTCTCCTTTGACCTTGTCCACAGAGACAAAAGCAATCTGATGCATATAAGAAGCAACAATTCAGAAAAAGGAATTTTCTTCATGAAAAATATATCTACAGGAATCTGCAAATCAAATGCTGGAACCTTCTTAAAGGTTCTAGGCAAGGGTGTTTGGCTGTGGAATGGGGAGATAGGTATTCATGAGCAATAGGGAAATTGTTGCTTTTTATAACAAAGTTTAGTCTTTGAAGCTAATTCTATAAGATTGAGTACACCTTTTTTTTTTTAAAAAAACGAGTAGAAAAACTATTCCTAAGCCCATGACAAATGGTTACATACACCGCAACTCAAATAGACAAGTTTAGACTGCGTATGAAAGAAGTGGTTTGAAACACAGAGAGAAACAGGAGGAGCTATATTAAATCATTAGTCTAACCACTTCGTTTTTCAAATGAGACTAAGACCAAGAATTGTAGCATGGTGAGTACAGTGGTTCCCAAATCTTCCCATGAGGACTGTCAGAACTTTGATAAAAATATCTCCCAATTCCAGAAAAATTGGAACTATTGCCAACCACCCTTTCTTGAAAAAGTTATCTTTTATTCTGTGACTATATCTTTCTTATTCTTTTAAGTGTTCCTCTTCGTATCTTTTTAAATGAAAGGATGCTAAGAGTAATTTTTTTTTTATCTCATGTCTTCTTTTTATAACTTTGTTTATGTACGTATTGTAATCTCTACACCCAACATGGGGCTTGAACTCAAGTCTCAAGATCAAGAGTCACATGCTCCTCTGACTGAGCCAGCCAGACATCTCTCTCATGTTTCCTTTCCTTCTTTCTCTTTCTTTCTTTCTTTCTTTCTTTCTTTCTTTCTTTCTTTCTTTCTTTCTTTCTTTCCTTCCTTCCTTCCTTCCTTCCTTCCTTCCTTCCTTCCTTCCTTCTTTCTTTCTTTCTTTCTTTCTTTCTTTCTTTCTTTCTTTCTTTTAGTTTATTTATTTATTTGGAGAGAGAGTGTGTGTGAGCAGGGGAGGGGCAGTGAAAGAAGGAGAGAAAGAATCCCAAGCAGGCTCTGTCTGCACTGTCAGCGTAGAGCCCGATGCAGGGCTCGAACTCACAAACCATGAGATCATGGCCTCAGCTGAAGCCAAGAGTCAGATGCTTAACCAAATGAACCACACGGTCACCCCTCATGTTTTCTTGATAGAAAAATGTTTGTACCCTCCCTCCCCCACTGTTTCTCAGATCTACCTAGTTCTCAAAATCCAAGAGTCTGGAATCGCTAGTTAAGAACAAAGAATGACAGGGCATTTGACTGGCTCAGTAAGTAGATAATGTGACTCTTGATCTCAGGGTCTGGAATTCAAGCCCGACCTTGGGCATAGAGCTTACTTAAAAAAAAAAAAAAAAAAAAAAAAAAACTTCACTAAATAAAAACTAAATTAAAAAAAAAGCAGAAACAGATAAAAAAATAAAACACAAAGAAGAAGAGAAATGTCTGTCCTACTAATACAAATTAAAACAACATGCTATTTTTGTCAGCAGTGCAGTGAAATTGACACACACACTAATCAGAATGTGAAGTAATACAATATATTTGACGGTCAGTTTGGCAATATGTTGTTTCCTTTCTTTAATAAAGCACATTTATAGCCTACACACACATAACACGCAAACTTTAGAATGTATAAAATTT